CCAAAATGCCTCGTATGAACAGGGTCAACGTGTTGCAAACAGGGTATAATATACAATGAACAATATGACAAACCACTACCATTTTGCAGACATTATTACTGCCTTATTCTTTTCAAAGAATTGTCCTCTTGAATAGTTCTGTTTTGCACATTCTGCAGAATGATAAAAAGCACAGGAGCCTCCCTGACTTCTTCAGGCAGGCCATTCATTCCACCAGGTGAGGCCACAACAAAGGAAGTTCTGCCAGAATTACTCTTCCAAATGAAGGAAGTTACTTATTTCACTGTGGGCAATACAAAATCAGCCTAACCCCATACTAGAGCAATCCAATGAACATGGAGCCATGTATCTAGAGATGCTTCCAACGGTACTGTTTGCATGGGCCAGAGCTGGCTTTCATTCACACGAAAGCCCACACAACTGGGTTCTCATGGAAGGTATGAGAATCCCCACCTTTGGGTACTGAAGCAACCTGAGAAATTCCATACATGCTTTCATATCAAACATGAATATACCTTTAACACAGGTGGGAGGAGGAGCATAAGAAATAAAGCTTCGCAGCATTAACAGGAGTTAAAGTGGAGATGTTTCATGATTACGTCATGCTTTTCCCCAAGTGTACCAAACACATCACACGCTGAATCCCAGTCACCCTTGTGATGCTAGTATTATTCTCCCATGTTGCAGGTGAGGTCTGAGGCTGAGAGAACAGCGGTTTGGCTGAGGTCATTTACCATGCAGTTAGACTTGCCAGCTCTGTGTTGGGGGGCTCCTGGAGATTAGGGAATGGAGCCTAAGGAGGTCAGGGTTTGGGGCAGGGGGGGACCTCAGTGGAGTGTGAGGTCATAGAGTCTCCCCTCCAGAGCAGCCATCTTCTCCAGGACAACGGATCTATTTTTAAAAAAATAACTTTTATTATAAGAAAATTACTAGAAACAACAATTATTTTTCATCAACATTTGTGAATTATGTCAAATTGTACACAGCTGAATGTTCAAAAAATATTCCTTAAAATTATATACATAGGAGAACTAATAAGTAACAAGCAGCAATTTTATAATTACCAACAAATATTTTAAAATACATTTAAAGATAAGCCAAAACCTCATTATACCATTGGTTTGTCATAGGATATTTGAAAGAATGATACTGTGCTGAGTAATCCATAAGGCGAAGCCATATGTCTAATAAATTAGAATTACAGTAACCTGAAGTAGATTCGATGGTTGAAATATGATCAGCTGTTTTGTCCGTGGTGAAAAATTCCCAAATTTTGACATGCCATTCTGCAGTTCAAGGAACAGATTTGATCAGAATTATTTGATCAGAATTATGATTAGTAGAACCAGGGCTATTTTTGGGCAGGAACGCACAGGAACAGAGTTCCGGCTGGCTCCCAAGTTGGCCACGCCCAGCAGGAACTCATTAGCATAATAGGCCACACCCAACAGCAGAAATCCATTAGGATTGGCTTATTTAGGGGTGTGTGGCCTAACATGCAAAGGAGTTCCTGCTACAAAAAACGCCCTGGGTTTTGGCAACAAACAAGGTAAACAGAATAACAAGCAAAAGGTGGGTGTGGCTGGATAACCACACTTCTGGTAACATGGGGGTGCGTCCTAATGTGCTAATGAGCTGTGCTGGCAGGGGTGTGGCCTAATATGCTAATGAGTTTCTGGTGTTGGGTGTGGCCTATTATGCTAATGAGTTCCTGCTGGGCTTTTTCTACAAAAAGAGCCCTGATGTAGAACTGATCTATTCGGCCTGGAGATCAGTTGTAATTCTGGGAGACCTCCAGCCACCACCTAGAGGCTGGCAACCCTATGCGTGATCTTGAGCAGAGTTACACCTTTCTGAGTCCAGTGTTTCGCTCAGTACTGCCCTCCCCAGAACCTCATATCAGACTCTTGGCTTCAACCCTGTGTCGGTTCTCTCCGTGGGGAGAAGATGTTTGTGATGGGTGGGGTGGGGAAGGGTCCTTTTCTGACCAAACCTTTTGGATTTCAGTCAAACAGAGCGGGATAAGAAAGAATACACAATATTTTAAAGATGATAAGTGACCTTAACGTGAGCACTAAATAAACATGTGAGTAAGCTCTTGAGTGTTTTGCTCCCTTCAGGCTGCACGTGCTCAAATGCTGAGCAGGATTTAGCTCAAACATCTCTCTTCGGTTTTATCATACTGTATTGGATCCGTGAAGTTCTGTTATGTGACTGATACATCCTGAAATTCTTATCTCAGCTCCTTTCACAAAGACACCACCACCGTCTTCCTTCTTCCCCCTCCCTGTCCCCCTCCAGTTTGATGTAGTGGTTAAGTGCACAGACTCTAATATGGGAGAACCGGGTTTAATTCCCCACTCCTCCACTTACACCTACTGGGTGACCTTGGGCAAACCATAGTTCTGTCAGAGCTGTTCTGGAAAGAGTAGTTTCTGTCAGCGCTCTCTCAGCTCCACCTACCTCACAGGGTGCCTGTTGTGGGGAGGGGAAGGGAAAGGAGTTTGTAAGCCTCTCTGAGACTCCTTTGGGTAGTGAAGGGCGGGGGCATAAATCCAATCTCGTCTCTTCTTCTCCCTCGATAAATATATCAGCTCAAAATTAGAGAGAGCCTACAGTGCATCGAGCCCTGACCTGGATGTCCTGGGCTAGCCTGACCTCATCAGATCTCGGAAGCTAAGCAGTGTGGGCCCTGGTTATCACTTGGATGGGGGACCCAAAAGGAAGTCTGTGGTCACTATGCAGAGGCAGGCAATGGCAAACCGCTCCTGACTGCTCGTCTCTTGCCTTGAAAACCCTGTGGGATCCCCATAGGTTGGCTGTGATTCGATGGCACTTTACACATCCACAGTCGATGGGACACCTGTGGTTTCAAGGAACTTTTTTGTGTGCAGACTTCTAAAATCCTAGGTTTCATTTGCCCTGTAGAACTACTAGATCAAGTTTTACTGTTTTAATTTCAAGTAACATGGAAGATGGCTGGGATATAAATGATGGAATTAAAGGACTAAGGAAGGGAGGGTGAAGAAAGAAGGCATTGCTGCAGTAAGTGGGGTTGCCAGCTCTGGGTGGGGAAATACCTGGAGATTTGGGGGTGGAGCCTGGGGAGGGCGGGGCTTGGGAAGGGGAGGGACTTCAGCAGGGTACCATGCTTCACAGTCCATCCTTCAAAGCAGCCTTTTCCTCCAGGGGAACAGATCTCTGTTGTCTGGGGATCAGTTGTAATAGCGGGAGATGTCCAAGCCCCATCTGGAGGTTGGCAACCTGAGCAGTCAGACAGTGATATTCCTTTAAAGATATGATCAAGAAAGGCATACGTTGATGAGGAGGATCTGTTATTATTCACTGGAAAATTAAAATCACAAAATGGCACACTGTTCCTGCAACGCAGAGAGGCAGGAGCGGAAAACCCAGCTTCTGACAAAGTGGGACAAAACAAAAAAAGGGGAGAGCAGAGATCACAAAATGGTGTGGAGACAAGGATCATCACTGATGGTTTGACTGACACCTGCCCTACCCAGATATGCATGCACAGTCTGGTGTAGTGGTTAAGTGAGCGGACTCTAATCTGGGAGAACCGGGTTTGATTCCCCACTCCTCCACTTGCACCTGGCTGAATGACCTTGGGTAAGCCATAGTTCTGTCAGAGCTGTCCTTGAAAGGACAGTTCTAGAAAGAGCTCTCTCAGCCACACCTACCTCACAGGTGTAGGTGTTGTGGGCAGGGGTAGGG